TTGGAAGGCTGAGGCGGAAGGATTGCCAAGCCCAGCAGGTCGAGGCTGCGGTGGCCGGGAGCGGCCACTGCACTCCAGTCTGGGCGACAGAGTGAGACTCCAACTCAAAAAAAAAAAAGAAGTGTTGAGCTGGATGTGGTGGCTTACACCTGTAATCCCAGCACTTTGGGACACTGAGGTGAGAGGATTGCCTAAGCCCTTGGGTTGGAGATCAACATGGGTAACATGGTGAGACCTCATCTCTACAATAAATCAAAAAAATTAGCTGGGTGTGGTAGCACACACCTGTAATTTAAGCTACTTGGAAGGCTGAAGTGGAAAGATCACCTGATCCCATCGGGTCGAGGCTGCGGAGGCCATGAACATGCCATTGTACTCCAGCCTGGGTGACAGAGTGAGACTGACTCAAAAAATAATAAAATAAAGAAGTGTTCCTGGGTGACAAGAGTGAGACTCCAACTCAAAAAAAAAGTGTTGGTGGGGTGCAGTGGCTCATGCCAACATTTTGGGAGGCTGAGGTGGGAAGGTTGTTTGAACCCAGGAGTTCGAGACCAGCCCAGGCACCATAGTATGATTTCATCTCTACAAAAAGAAGAAAAAAGAAATGTGAATTAAAATAACAGTGGTGGCCCAGCACAGTAGCTCATACCTGTAACCCCACCACTTTGGGAATCCGAGATGGGAGAATTGCTTGAGCCCAGTAGTTTGAGACCAGCCTGGCAATATAGCAAGACTTTTTCTGACAAAAAAAATTGAAAAATTAGCTGGGCATAGTGATACTCACTTGTCGTCCCACCTACTCTAGAAGCTGAGGCAGAAAAATCACTTAAGCCTAGGAGTTGGAGTTTGCGGTGAACTGTGATCATGCCACTGCACCAATCTGGGCAACAGAGTGAGACCCCCAATTCAATCAGTCAACCAGTCTACCAATAGCTAACTAGCTGTGGAGACTTACGTTTTAACAAATGAAAACAGGATTTTATATATTGTCTTTCTGTTCTGTGTGTTCTTGCTATTCATGTACTATCCTTTGGCTGTTTTCATATATACTTGCTGCATTGTGTCCTACGCATCTATATTACATGACTCATACTTATTTTTGTCTTTTGCATTTTTGTATCATCTTTCTACAATTATTAACAATTAAATTCTAACAAAATATGCAGGGTTTTAAAAAAATAATAATTTAATCACCTTTGATAAAAGTGATTCTAAAGGAGTTTAAATTTTTTTTAACTGTTTCCAAAATTTCAAATGCCTCAAGAACTGTTGTTTTATTTTTATTTTTTAAAGTGTAGTAGCTCAGTCATAGCTCACATTGCTCACATAGCTCACTTCTGGGCTCAAGAGATCCTCTCACCTCAGCCTTCAAAAATAGCTGGGACTACAGGTGTGCACCACCACACCCAGCTAGCTTTTTCTTTTCTTTTTTCTTTTTCTTTTTCTTTTTTTTTTTTTTTGAGTTGGAGTTTCACTCTGTCACCTAGGCTAGAGTGCAGTGGCATGCTCACAGCCATCGCAGCCTCAACATGCTTGTCTCAGGTGATCCTTCCACTTCAGCCTTCCAAGTAGCTGAAACTACAGGCCTGCGCCACCATGCCCAGCTAATTTATTTATTTATTGTAGCAACGAGGTCTCACCAAGTTGCCTAAGCTGGTCTCGAACCCGTGGGCTCAGGAATCCTCTCGCCTCCACCTCCCAAAGTGCTGGGATTACAGGCATGAGCCACCATGCCCAGCTTCTTTTCTTTTGATTCAAGGTCTCACTCTGTTGCCCAGACTGATCTCAGATTCCTGGATTGCAGGCGTAAGCCACTGCACCCAAGCAGTTGTGAACTGTTCTTTAGGGACTAAATGGAATGATAAACAATTATTACTAGATAAGCCCAAAATTCTTGTAGGATGGATATCAACAGTAAAATTCATCTGTGAACAAACTTCGTTGTGTTTTCCTCAGGTGAATGCTTGAGATGCATGTTCTGGAATAATCTTGGTTGTATCCATTTTGCCATGAGCAAGCACAATTTGGGAATTTTCTACTTTAAAAAGGCTCTCCAGGAGAACGACAATGTCTGTGCTCAGCTCAGTGCAGGTAGCACTGATCCAGGTAATCCAAGTGTTGAAGGACAGTTGTGTTTTACTTGAGAAAAGCAGGATTTAAAGAGCAAGCATGTGGTCACGATACATGCCATGTGGACCTATGTATAGTTGAGGCATTGGGAGTGCCCAACAGATTTGGCTCTAGGGGTTTCAGTAGCTATTGCAAAGTCTTAGGAGTAATTTTGAATTATCCTCAGATTTATGTTACATTCTATTTTTCATGGATTTAAAAGTCAGTAATCCCTTGGTTGGGTGCAGTGGCTTAAGCCTATAATCCCAGCACTTTGGGAGACCGAGGCGAGAGGATTACCTGAGCTCAGGGGTTCGAGAGCAGCCTGGCCAACTTGGTGAGACCTTGTCTCTACAGTAAATCAAAAAATAAGCTAGGCCCAATAGCAAGTGCCTATAGTTCTAGTTACTTGGAAAGATGAGGCAGAAGGATAGCCTGAGCCCAATAGGTCGAGGCTGCAGTGGCTGTGAGTGTGCCACTGCACTCCAGCCTGGGCAACAGAGTGAGACTCCAACTCAAAAAAAAGAAAGAAAGTCAGTAATCCCATATGATCATGTCATATACCAGAATATTTGATTAGTCAAAACTTAACTGTGCCAAACTAGTTTTATTATAGCTTATTTTCAGGGTTCACATGTAATACTGTTGGCAGCGTCTGGCAGTCTTTAAGCCAATTCCTGAAGTTTTTTCGTTAATATTCGTATTATATGGAGCGTTAACCTGAAATACTTAAAATCAAACAATTATTCAGCTTTTTAAAATAATAAAAGCCTATTTAATTGATGAAACATATTCTAAGTCTCAAATGGTCTTATGGACTATGAAACATTGAATAAGTGATAGCACATGATAATAAAATGGTTAGCCAAGCTGAAAACAAGACTTACAGACTCTAAAACTGTGGAAAAGCAGTGCAAGTTTCAAAGAAGTGAAAGTGAGTTCTGTCTCTTATCTTCGCCTTCCTGGAACATTGTTGTCTGAGGAGCTAGCAAAGAAGAGATATCTCTCTGGCCCTGCCAGCGTGGACAGCTGAGGTGGCTCTGGAGAGTGTTTGTGGGGTTGAACATGGAGACCACCATTGATGAGAGCCAGTACAACTTCAAATCAGAGTTTTTGGTATTAAACATGGCAGTATTTAATTATTTAGTAGAATAAACGTTTTCAGTGTAATTGTTTCTTTAAATACAATGATTTATTCTTATCTAATGTTTATCAACAGGCAAAAAATTTTCAGGAAGACCCATGTGTACTTTACTAACCAATAAGAGGTACGAGTTGCTGTATAACTGTGGAATTCAGCTTCTTCACATCGGAAGGCCTCTTGCGGCTTTTGAGTGTCTGATTGAAGCTGTTCAGGTTTATCATGCAAATCCTCGCCTTTGGCTACGACTGGCTGAATGCTGCATTGCTGCCAATAAAGGGGTGAGTGCTGCTTGGGTATCTTTTTGGATCTCCATCTTTCCCCAACTTACTACATGGAAAGCCAGAAATACTTAGAAACAGACAAGATATCATTCCCTTTTCAACCTCAGTGAATTGATAAAGACAGTCTTCTTTTCTTTAACCATTGGGGGGACAATTTAGTTCCAAAAAGTTATTTTTTAACATTCTATTTTTTGGTAAGTATGACAGCATTAAAGGGTTGAAGTCAATTAGAAGGTCATATCTGTGGGAATAGTGGTCTACTAGCTGCTAACGGGCCCTGCTGCCTGCTGGCGTGAGAACAGTGTGTGTGTACCAGGTGATTAGAGGAGGACTAATAACACGGTGTGGAAAGAACTGCATTGATCTATATTTCCTTCACTGCCTGGGGGGTGTCCCTTTGGTTTCAGTAAATGATGCAGTTTATGGATTACCAGGCTGGCTCTCTCTGACACCGGATCGTCTGCGGTGGCTACAAGATGAGGGCTCACCTTGATGTCCATGGCAGTTGGTAGAAGCCTTTTGGATCTCAAGTTGAGAGGGGGAAGATGGGTTGTATCAGAATTACCAGATGTCTGCGTCTTCCATTTGCATGCCACCCACTTCCCTTGTGCTGTTGGTGAAGATGGGGGAGGTTTCCCCTGCATGCCTGCCATAGGTGATATAAGCCTCTCCTGCTGAATGGCGCTTTCTGAGAAACAGCTACAAGAACCAAGGGGGTTAGAGAATGGTGTTTTCCTAGCCGTTTTCGCACATGGTACTTAAGTAGTTTAGGATTTGAGTATACCATTGGAGGATGAGACGAGTGGTGTCTTTCGAAGACTTTAATGATTGATTTAATTGTACTTTGCTTTTTAAAAGACAGCTTCCTTATTGAATATATATACATATATTTTTAAGAATCATAGTCTTATTCTTTCACTCAGGCTGGAGAGCAGTGGCGCAGTCATAGCTCACTGTAACTTCAAACTCCTGGGGTCAAGCAGTCCTCCACCTCCCAAGTAGCTGGGTTTATGGGTGCATGCCACCTCTTCTGGCTATTTTTTTTTTTTTTGGTAGAGAAGGGTCTCACTGTATTTACCAGGCTGATCTCAAACTCCTACCCTCAAAGGATCCTCCTGCCTTGACCACCCAAAGTGCTGAGATTATAGTTGTGAGCCACCACGCCTGACCTCTTACTGGATAATTCTTAAATTAACTGATAAACAATTCTAGGCAGAATTCATACTTCTTAAATATAAAAGGATCTCTAGAAATTACTTATTATCTTTAATCCATTCATGAATTTAAGTGTTGGGGGCCTTTCTTCCAGTTACTGGAAGCTAGATAAACTGTTTTCTAGGCCTAGATAAATGTATTAAATTTTAATATTTTCTTTTAAAATTAACTTGTTTTTGAACTAGTACTTTCAGGGCCAGGTGCAGTGGCTCACACCTGTAATCCCAGTACCTTCAGAGGCTGTGGCAAGAGGACTGCCTGAGCCCAGGCGTTTGAGACCAACCTGGGCAATTTTGGAAGACCTTATCTCTACAACCTCTACAACAACAACAACAACAAAAATTAACTGGGCGTGGTGGCACAATTCAAGCTATTTGTAAGGCTAAGGCAAAGGGATCCCCTGAGCCCAGCAGGTTGAATGTGCCACTGCACTCTAGCCTCGGTGTCAGAGTGATGAGACTCTGGCATAAAAAATAAGAAATAAGCCGGGCTCGGTGGCTCAGCCTGTAATCCTACGCCTTTGGGAGGCTGAGGTGAGTGGATTGCCTGAGCCCACGGGTTCGAGACCCGCCTGGGCAGCGAGACCTCATCTCTACAATAAATTAAAAAATCAGCCGGGCGTGGTAGCGCATGCCTGTAATTCCGGCTTCTCGGAAGGCTGAGGCGGAAGGATTGCCGGAGCCCAGCCAGTCGAGGCTGCGGTGACCGGGAGCGGCCACTGCACTCCAGTCTGGTCGACAGAATGAGACTCCAACTCAAAAAAAAAAAAAGAAATAATATGGCCAGGCACGATGGCTCACACCTATAATCCCAGCACTTTGGAAGGCTGAGGTGATAGGATTGCTTAAGCCCATAGGTTCCCTGGAGACCAGCCTGGGCAACTTGGCGAGACCTCATCTCTATATAGATAAAAAAAAATTAGCTAGTCGGGATGGTGCATGTCTGTAGTTCCAGCTACTTGGAAAACTGATGCGGAAGGATCGCCTGAGTCAAGCAGTTTGAGACTGCAGTGGGTATGAGCGTGCCACTGCACTCCAGCCTGGGCGACAGTGAGATTCTGACTCAGGAGGGGGAAGAAACAGTACTTTTAGGATTGTCTTTGTTCTAAGAATGTCATCGGACTTACAAGGCCCACTTATTTTTAGAGGTTCTAAATTTGTAATTTTTTAAAAATAGTAGAGATAACTTTTGGTTTTTATAACTTGGAGTGGATATCAGGACATATACAAATCTGTGCTGCTAATATGAAACTTGCCATAAGTAATTATCTTTATTTGTGCTTTTTAAGGGGACCTAAAAGACAGTAAAAATAACCCTAAAACACTGTCAAAATCAGAGAGCAAATCTCATTTGGAATGATTATAAACTTCAAATAAAATTATATAACATTTATTTAGTCTGGCCAGGAGGTATGCTGAACAAGCAGATTATACCTTCAAAGATAAATTTATTTTGAATTAAAAAAAAAATTGTTAAATTAGTGATGCCAGACTGGACGCGGTAGCTCACGCCTATAATCCCAGCACTTTGGGAGGCCGGGGTGAGAGAATTGCCTGAACCCACGGGTTCGAGACCAGCCTTTGACAAGACCTCATCTCTACAACAAATCAAAAAATTAGCCGGGTATGGTGACGCATGCCTGTAGTTCCAGCTACTTGGAAAGCTGAGGCAGAAGGATCACCTGAGCTCAGCAGGTCAAAGCTGCAGTAGCCATGAGTATGCCACCGCACTCTAGCCTGGGTGATAGAGTGAGACTCTGACTCAAAAAGAAAAAAAAAATTAAATAAATGAATAAATTAGTGATGCCAAGGAGGTCATTTTGTCCTGTTTATCTGGTACTTGTGGTACTTGTTTCAGGGTTGGCAGAGGCAAGACTTATATTTACCTGGGCGGTGCATAATATATGAGAAAAGATCTACTGAACAAAAACATAGTCCTAATAATTTATTTACGTATGATCCTTCTGCATTAAAACTGATCTGGCACACTTTCAGGCTATTGGTGACTGAAGGTATAGTTTGTTACTGTTTATTTTTATGGATTTGTAGTTTCTTTTTTTTGTTTGTTTTGTTTTTTGGGGGGTTTTTTTTGAGTTGGAGTCTCACTCTGTCACCCAGACTAGAGTGCAGTGGCCGCTCCCAGCCACCGACCTCGACTTACTGGGCTCCGGCGATCCTTCCGCCTCAGCTTCCAAGTAGCTGGAACTACAGGTGCGCGCTACCATG